AATACTTCATCTAGTACCTTTTTTAGGACCTTTACATGTATCATTAAATACTAGAGAATCAACAATAAAATTATATCTCCCATTTTTCAATTTATTATATGGGGCATACTGCAACAAAACCAGACAAAGTGATATTTAGTGTCAAAAAATTTCAAGGGTACATATTTTAGCATATTTAATTATCTAATTCATTCTTTTATTTCGGAAAATAATAAAGCAATAAATAACATAAAGAACATAATAATAACACTTGGTAAACTAACATAGAGATATCATTACTAACATGAAAATTATATAATAATTATTAAATATTAAAATGCGCATTTTCAAATATTTTTTTGTGAACACAAATCATTAACCTCATTTTTTAAAATATTCTTTTTTGGTGTAAGATAAGTTTTCACAATATAATCAACTTTGAAATGTTTAGGTTTTACAGTTATTCCCGAATGGAGTATTCTTGTAATATTGTTATTATCATAGGACACATAGTTAGCTTTTTTGATGATATTATCCTATTATCAAATGAACCTTATTAGCATCTACGTTGTTGAACATATAAGAAAACCAAAAGGTTTAACTTCCTTACTTTAAAAAAATAAAGTACTTCAAGTGAATTCTTTAATTCCTTAATGTTAATTAATTGCGCAGGAAATCTAAATATGGGCCCATCAAAACCAAAATATAATCCTCTATCAAGTAGATCAATTCCAAAAAGTTGTCCATGTAAACCTAACACAATAATAGGAGCTATGAGCTATATACAATTTGTCATTTTAAATGACATCTGGTAAACTTACCTGCTAATTGCAATCCAAAAAATGTAGAATCTTTTACGGCATCCTCAGAAAGATCATGCATAAGGTATTGATCCAAAATACATTTATTTGTTCTTAAACACTTACTTCTATCTTTTATTATTTTTATTGTTGTTGCAGCACGTGCACACTCCGAATGTGACAATTCTATGCTGTCAACAGTTAACACTCTTAAATCAATTTTACGACTTTTGGTGGCTTTGGAAACTGTTTCACCCCTACGACCATTCATAAACAACAAATCAGACACACAATTAAGAACTATTTCAAAGTTAACAAAAATTACTCACCATTTCAAATCAATAATATTATGATTATTTGAAAAAATTATATCTAAAATGGGACTCGTCATCTTCATGATATATTCAAGTTCCGTTAATTGTTTATTTTCTCCTTCTTTATCAACAAAAGTATGAGGATTTTCTAAAAGCATGTCAATTCTAGCAATGAAAAGTTGAATTTAAGCAGGCTGCAAAAAAAAAAAAAAAAAAAGGACACACAATAACATACATCAAATAGTATATCTTTACAACTTGCCGATGTTTATCATCACTAGGTCGTTCTTTTAGTCTATCCAACAAGTATATACGTGCATCCCAATATCTGTACATGGCACAAAACTAAAAGAGTGAGAATAGTTAAATAATATACATTAAATAACAACAATCACGCCTTTACTTACTTCTTCTACTTTGATGATATCAGATAAAATCTCTCCTTCAAATTTTTTTATTTTTAAATTTATATGATTTGAAACCTTTTTTTTTAAATCCTTCCAATCTTGACCAAACCAAGTATGCATTCCTCCCTCGAATTCAGAAGACAGATCAATTATAGACGAAAGTCCAAGCCTATACATGTACACATCAGTGGTTAGCATTGTAATAAATATTAATAATAATAATAATAGTAAACCTTATAACACTCAAAGTCTTTCCATCCATTTTAGTTAATTTCTTGGCATTTTCAGCAATTTCATATGTCATTTTCAACAAGACATCTCTAACTTTATCACCATTATTTAAAGACCATCCCTGTTTATCATGTCTGTCTATCCAATCACCAAAAGTCTTTTCATTGACATCTATAATATCTGCAATATCTTCTTCATCTGAATCATCAGTTTCTTCATTCAAGTTGTCAGATTCTTTTTCTTCTTCTTCTTCGGCAGGATCATAGTCAATTAAACGTTCCTTGAAATTCTGTGTAAAAAAGGCATTAATTGAAACCATTAAAAATTTTTGATTCAGTTTCGTTAACACATAACAGTCTTGCTCATTTAAATATAATTTACTTTACTTTTGATGGTGGTGATAATTGTGAGCGACTAAAAAATAAATAAAGAATTATATGGAATGATGAGTTGTAATGCATCACAACCACCAACTTTTAACTAGAACTAAAGTGACGACAAGTGGCGGGCGATAACCACCACCACCATCCTTAAAACACTTACCCACGTTCAGTTCCCAGTTCATTCGTTCTACTTCTTTTTCTTTTATTTTGATTAAACATGTTTATAAAATAAGAAGTTTGTTTTGATTGACAAACACATACACCAATTATTTATCCTATTGGTTATTTTTTTAGTAGGACAGACGCGAATTGATTTTTTCTTTTCTTTTGGAAAAACAATTTATTTTTTGATAGAGTCCAAGGTGACAAAATGTGAGTGAAGTTTGGTTTATGGTTCGGTTTGAGTCTCCTAAAGAAAACATGTTAATAATAGAGGTGCTTTTTTTATTTGTATTGATATAATGTGGTATCTTTTATTTTATATAAATATTTTAATTGAAAATCAAGACGCAGAGCAGGTCTTGCTGGGTAATTACAAGATTTTCATTGATAATATTTTGCTTTTTGTAATTGTTAATAATAATAATATTATTATAAATATTATAATTAGATGTCAAGCAGCACACCATTGAAAAAGAGACATTTCGATATGCAACGTTTGATTATTCGGAAATTTTTAGAGATGTTGAAGCACACGCGCTACCTTGAACACACTACAGTCATTCACTCGTATTCCTCGTGTACATAAGGCTAATCTGACCAGCTCCGTCCTATGGATATAATGATGCTACAGAATTCCTGGGGGTTGGCGCATGGCCCTGGAGTTTACCGAGACTGCACCAATCGTCAATGACACTTTCACTAATCTTCCCAGACCAGAGAAGGTGGCTGGCATGTTGGCCAAAAAGTTGCCTGCAACAATCCTACCTCTAAGTATGGATCTGTGACCAAGTCACAACTCTGCTGATAAATTGTAGTGCCATGTAAATATCCAGATCATCAAAGCAACAAGAACCTGCAACTTGTTCCAAGCACAGGAGGTCACAATTCAGAGCAGGATTGGTGGCCCTGAAATTGCATTTGGGTTCTGATGATAAGAGGAAAGTTGTAAAATAATGTTTGTTTTGTATAATCACTTTCCTAAATGCTCTGTTTTTCTTTAATTTGTTTTTTGAATGGGGATAGGGTTGTTGGTGAGTAGGCATGCCACTAACAAAACAGCAACCCAGGACTCAAAACTCTGAATCCAGGAAAAAAACAAAACAATAACCCAGGTTACAACCTCCCAAGTTGCAGAATTTTCAATCAGTTGCAGGTGCCAACTTTATACTGAAGAGGTATAACACAAAGCAATCACCACACAAGTGTTGATCCTCATCAGTTATCAATGCCCGTATGTTAACAGCCAATCCTGGTCTAAGGGGGAAGATAAGGGAAAGTTTTGTCCAAAGTCTTCCAACATGTTCAATCTGCCCCTACTTGTGGGAGAAAATTCCATGGTGCTAAGGGTGTGCAATTGCATTCGCTTGCATGTTTGTGATAGGAAATTTTTATTAAATCTGACACCTGTGATCAACATCAGGTTTATTATTCATAATTAATAATCAGGAAGAATAATTTATTATTGTGAACCCCAGAGATCTGGGTAGACAGGCATTATTAAGAGTTTCATTTTTGCATGGCCTTGGTATTGTTACTACATGGGTGATGCAATTGTTTGTTATGTCAATTATAACATCAAACATATTGATTAATAATCATGATGAATGCAGGGATAAAGGAATTCACACATGAGGAAAGTATTAAATAGCAATATCATGTTTGTTTATTTTATTTTTTATTTTAACCAAAATATATACATTAATTATATCAAAAAATACAAGATAAAAAAATTGCCAGAGTGATTGCATGGAATTCAAGGCTGAAACAATCACACCATTACATGTCCCAAGGTCAATCAAGCAATTATTTGAATCCATTGGTGCACTCACTTTTGAAATCTTGTTGAAGGGAGATAGGTTTGTATGCAATTTAAATTTTTTTTATGTTAATTTAGAGTTCCATCTTTCTTTGCTCTTGTAGGTTGCATTTTACAAATCAAATTATTTACCTTAATGTAATAATCATTAATTTTTAAGTTTCAAAATTGATTATTTTGAAAAATATAATTTTTCTACAATTGTAAGAGTTACTTTTCAACAAGATAAGTTATAAGTATTTTCAAACAGGTACTATTGTAAAAATACAAGTTACCTTTATTTCTTAGAGGATAATCCTTTTTATGTTAAAAATACATAATAATATATAAATAATAAAATATAAATAAACTGTAATTAATCTTATTGTTATAACCTATTTGGAAGATATTTTGAACATAATAATAAACAATAATTGATTATCTCAAATAAATTAAGTAAATTTTGTATGTGAAACTGAAACTATGTGAAATCTAAAATTTTGGCTAATTTGAATTTCATGTATATACGTGAATTGCAAATTCACATAGATTTCATTTTCATGCACAACAAATATAAAATATAAATCACCACATGTGATTTGTTACAGCAATAATGACATTTTCTGTTTATTATCAATGATGATGTCTTTTCTTATTTTGATTATTAATGACAATAAACCAATTTGAATCTAAGCCATAATTATTTTTCATGGGGAAGTTGACCAACAAGTTGCTGAACAATAATATCTTTTAAATCATTTACCTAAAACTATTCAATTAATTCGTTCAAGTTTAATTCCTTTCCTTCAATTTTAAAACAATTATAAAAAACTACAAAGTGAACATAAAATTATAAAATTATATATATAGGGATAAGTGTATATGAAAAGTAATAAATATAATGGTTCTAATGAATATGAAAAAGCCATTGATTTTTTAGAAAAAGGTTGTGATTGTGGTTGCTCTTCAAGAATTCCCAAAGAAGAATTTGCAGAATTAAGGGAATCCTTTCAAGCTCTTTCCAAGTCTGAACAAAACATTTTTAATGGCATGGATCAAAGCAATAGGTGGTGGATCAATAAGCACTAGTAGACACCTTAAAAGAAATAAAAGAACTTTTTATCGATGGGATTGGAATTCAAGGCTGAAACAATCACACCATTACATGTCCCAAGGTCAATCAAGCAATTATTTGAATCCATTGGTGCACTCACTTTTGAAATCTTGTTGAAGGGAGATAGGTTTGTATGCAATTTAAATTTTTTTTATGTTAATTTAGAGTTCCATCTTTCTTTGCTCTTGTAGGTTGCATTTTACAAATCAAATTATTTACCTTAATGTAATAATCATTAATTTTTAAGTTTCAAAATTGATTATTTTGAAAAATATAATTTTTCTACAATTGTAAGAGTTACTTTTCAACAAGATAAGTTATAAGTATTTTCAAACAGGTACTATTGTAAAAATACAAGTTACCTTTATTTCTTAGAGGATAATCCTTTTTATGTTAAAAATACATAATAATATATAAATAATAAAAATATAAATAAACTATAATTGATCTTATTATTATACTCTATTCAGAAGATATTTTGAACATAATAATAAATAATAATAATTGATTATCTCAAATAAATTAAGTGAATTTTATGTCTATAAAATATAAATCACTATATGTGATTTGTTACAGCAATAATAATATTTTCTGTTTATGATCAGCAATGTGTGGGAAAATTCATTGGTAAAGGTAGTTAATTTATTATTATTTCATTTATTGTTTGCCTTTTGCTTTTAAGATGACTTAATGATGATAAGCCAATTTAAATCTAGGCCATAATTATTTTTCATGGGGAAGTTGACCAAATTTTCCAATTTCTCTTCACAGGTTACTGAACAATCATATTTTTTAAATCATTTACCTAAAACTATTCCATTGATTCATCTAAGTTTAATTCCATTCATATACTTTCCTTCAATTTTAAAACAATTATAAAAAACTACAAAGTGAACATAAAATTATATATATAGGGATAAGTGTATATGAAAAGTATTAACAAAGATAACAAATACAATGGTTCTAATGAATATCAAAAAGCAATTGATTTTTTAGAAAAAGGATGTAGTTGTGGTTGTTCTTCAAGAATTCCCAAGGAACAATTTGCAGAATTAAGGGAATCCTTTCAAGCTCTTTCCAAGTTTGAACAAGACATATTTCTAATGGCACAAATTAAAGCAATGGATGGGGGATCAATAAGCACTAGTAGACGCCTTAAAAAGAAAACTAGATCTAATAAAAGAACTTTCTATCACTGAGATCACAATACACCTCTTTGTCAAGAAACTTATCTCAATATGTTAGG